TTAAAGTAATGAGAAACCAGCTGTGTAGGAGAAATCTGGAAGTCCTCTGCAGTCTTGCTTAATGTATACTGTCCAAATACAGAATTCTAACAGTCAGATGGCTAATGCCATCTCCTAATCTCACAAAGTTGTTCTCCTAGGGATGTACATTGAGACACTGGTTCATTAAGTTTAAAAATTCTTCGCTTGAGTTCAGAAAGGCACAAAGGCCCAGCTCTGTGAGAAATTAACACCTAACATTTATGACCATCACTTGGAGCTGGCCATCTAATGAAAGTTAACTGCTCTTTAATGTCTTTGCGGATGTAACATCTTTAAGCATCACTTAAAACTCAACAGAACAAGGAGAACAGGAGCACTGCCCAGAAAGAAAAGCGATAGAATGCTGAGCTGTTGAGAAGGAGAAATGACTCTCGTGAAGATAGCCAAGGTTGGCAGGAAAACTGCAAAGCAAGTAGAGCTTCACTGATACTGTCAGGGAAAATATTTCTCTTTTCCTAAAGTCCCCAAGACAACTGGCTTGTACTATTATAGAAGCTCTACAGAAAAAGGTTAAAAGACTACAGCAATTCTGGAAATTATAGGAGCTTGCAAATACTGCATGTAAATGGAGAAGCAGCAGTGTGTTGGCAGTTCTTCACTGAAGTCCTTGCAGCAGGAGCTCAGGGGTGTCCTTTCTCAGCCTGGTGATACTGCCTTTGTGTCCTGGCTGTAAAGGCTGGCTAACTTCAATAAAAGCTGTTATTGCATGAGAGTTTGCAGCAGCTGAAAAATGGGCACAGGTAAATAAGAGCAGCAAAATACGAGCAAGGTGAGATGGTATTTCAGCTGTTCCAAAAACCCTCTATTTTAAAGATTTCTGTAAATAAGCAGTCAATGAATTGATGTTGTGTGCCAGCAGCAGGACTCAGAAGTGCAGAGCTGATTCTGAACAAAGCAGTAGACATTTGGCTAGCACCATGTATGGCTCCCAAGGTGCAGCTCTGACCATTGACTGTGTTCTCCTGCAAAATGTCAGATACACTCCTGTCTTACGGGGGGAAATAAAAGCTTGCAGAATATGTTAATAAGTTATCTAAGGCAACCACAGGCCCACAAGCTATTACTTATTCAGGTATGTGAGTCTTGCTGTACATCTGCACGAAGAAGAAGGAGAACATGAAGTACAGTGAGGTCTTAACAGAAGCCTTGACCTTCACACATTTGGACAGGATGTAGGCAGAGCTGATGTGATTCCTTACTGATTAGCCTCATCACCAAACATTTGGACTATTAGAGATAGAGAGTTTGTCAAGGTTTTTCAATCTTGTCTTTAGCACCAATTATACGTTCTGACGAGAGTTAACTCCATCGCAGCCAGACCCAGACACAAGAACAAATATTTGTCTTGTCTTTAGCACCATTTATGACGTTCTGACGAGAGTTAACTCCATCACAGCCAGACCCAGACACAAGAACAAATATTTCCTCTCTTTTCCTCCTTTCCAGGACCGGGACTCGCATTCATTGCTTACCCTAAAGCTGTTACCATGATGCCTCTCTCTCCTCTGTGGGCAACTCTGTTCTTCATGATGCTCATATTCCTTGGATTAGATAGTCAGGTATGAAACACACACTATTGAAGTATTTTGTCAGATTCCTGAGCATGTGTATATCAGCATCCTTGATGTCAACAGCATCTAACCTGATGAAAGAATGAACCCTAACTTGATTCCTTGCTTAAAACCATCGATTTAAGCTCCTTATTTTAAATGTTAGTTACGTGATAGTGGAGATTCCTTTATGATTTACTGTGAACACGGATTCAGCCTGACTAAAGCTTTCATTATTAACACGGAAATCAGTTTGAACTTAAGTATGGGTGATTAAAATTCACAGTTCATTAAAATACCAGTGTGTTGTCTTTTCCTGTTTTTAAAGCACTTTGCAGTGAATTTTGAAACTGAATATCCAATAGTGATAATATAAGCTCCTACAGTGTGTTTACACTTCAAGACACCATAGCAAGAAATGCCTAGTTGTGCACGGCAGCCAAGTGAGGGCGTAGGGGTTGTCCTTCCTGTGTGACCTGAGGAACTGTGAGAGCTGCTTGATGAGACACGTAAAGCAGGTGGCATTGTTAGCATGCAGCTCAGCTCTCCGCCTGATTTGGTTCAGAGGGTTTATGATTGTACACTGCAGAACAAAGCTCTTCAGTGCTTATTTTGCATGACATTTCCAATCATTGCACTTAATGTTTTAATAACTGCTCCTTTTCCCAATCTAACAATTTTTTATAAGTCTTTTTTAAAATGAGTGATTCTTGAATTATCTTCTTGACTGTTCCGATGAAGTAGGCTTTATATTGTCTACTTTTGGGCATTAATTTTGGTGCCTATTTTAGATACCTTGCTCCAGAGCCCTCAGGCCTCTTGCTTTCTGCTGATATTTTAAGTTAATAAGAACGTTCCTTCCCTCCTTCATTAGATGTCCTGGCTAGGGGACGTAATAGCTTTGTGGAACTTCTCTCTCCTGTAGAATGGAGAGAACATCTCCAAAACCCGTGCAGTTTGTGTAGCAGTGCTTGAAGGTGCACAGCACTGCGAGTCACTCCTTCGAGTGGGGGAAGCGCAGGGTGCTCGGAGTGAAATCCTGCTGCGCTCCTGTGAACGGTTTGTACGTTATTTAAGTCCCATTCGAGCCACGTTTGAAAGACTTAATTTGGGTGTAATCCATCTGCTTCAGGGCAAATGCATTGTGAGATAGTATTAGTGGATTCAACTATTTGAATTTGGTGGTGGACTGGAAATCCAGAGCTTTGAATTTCTTAATTCTTGAAACGATGTTCCTCTCAGTTTGCGCTCCCGCTTACAGTGTCCTCAGGGATCAGGCAGTCTCTGTGGATATAAGGATATTTGAAGTGTTTGGTAGCAAATCCACATCCCAACAGCAGATGAGACACATAATTCATTTGTACTTTCCTGTCGTTTGTTCTAGTTTGTGTGTGTTGAGAGCCTGGTGACAGCTGTCGTAGACATGTACCCAAAGGTTTTCCGAAGGGGCTACAGAAGAGAACTGTTGATTCTCGGCCTTTCCATTGTGTCATACTTCATCGGCCTCATCATGTTAACGGAGGTAAGATGTGCTTTCTTCTGCTGCTGCCAAAAGAAGGAAACGGGCTTCTGTTTGTAATCATAACAGATAAAATGCAAGAACGTTTGCCATAGACAGATTTCACTGGGAGGAATATGACGACAAATTACTTGAGAGACTGTTCTCAGCTACTGTGTAACATCTGAAATGGGAAACGTACCCTCAGTTTTTCAGGAGAGTTTGGGAAATATTTTAATCAAAGTTACGTAGCCAAGGAGATTCCATCTGCTTTGCACGAGTCAACGAGACACACTTGATGGTGCTTTCTGCTTATTGACACTGGGCAGACCCGTCTGAGAACAACTACGTTGTGGATGAACAGATCAATAAAGAAGATGAAGAAAAGTGAAAATAGAAAAGTAAAACATCTGTGATTTTTGTACCACCGGGCCAGGTCGATCAATACAGCCAATCTCAGAGCAGAAATTGCTTCAGTAAGTGTGAAAAAACCCAAAGACATTTCCATCAAACCAAGGTGTTTGCTTTGGGATGTTCTAAACCACAAACACCGAGGGCGTCAGTCCATCCCATCAGCTCATGATAGAACATTTCTGGCACTGCTGTGTGTGATACCCAGCTTGGGGAGGGACTCTGGGATCCATCCTTTGGTACGTGGCAGGAGTTTAGCCTCACTGCTGGCTTTAGGGTATCGACAGGCTTCCTCGCCTTCACGTGACCCTCTCAAAACAGGTAGACGAGGGGCAGAGCCCACGCTCTCCTCCTGTAGTCTTCTGCTTGCTGGGCCACTGGAGCCTCCCTGTACCAGGGAGCGAGGCAAAGAAAAAAGTTCCATGGCTGAGGAGCTGTAGAATTAAATGTCTGAGGCGTTTGTCTGGGGAAGCCTGGCTGTATTAACCGTGAAGGGCCACAACGTGTCTCTGTTGTGCAGCGTCTCGGGCAGGGTTTCCCAGGGAAGCAGCCTCTCAGGGCCTCCTGAACTCAGCTGGGGTCACTTCAATTCCCTCCAGAGCTCCACAGCCCTTAGACTCTGTGCTAGTCGGGTTATCCAGAACGTTATTAATTGGACTTCATAGGTTTTCTGCTCATCTTGTCTTGAGGCAAAGGCCCGTCAGTTCTCTGCCCAGTTCTGACTGCTGTAAGCAAGAGGAAGATACATGAAAAGAGAAGAATTATGTCTTTGACAAATGTGATGATTGATACAGTTGAGTCATAGTCAAACAATAAGCGAGGATGTCTCTGTTGAACACATTCACCTTTTCCATACAGGCTGGTATTGGGGCAGCACTGAATGCAGGAAGGGACAGATCACCGACAGCGCCCTGTGTGGGGATCCCGTGGTAACTTAGGACACTGTTTTGGGAACAAGGCAAATGTAGTTCTCTCTGCTCCAGGATTTACTACCTTAAAGCAAATGCACAGTATTCAGCTGGCACAGGGAATAATCTCAAGTGCTGTGGAAGAAAAAACCTAGCGCCCTGTGTGGGGATCCTGTGATAACTTAGGACACTGTTTTGGGAACCAGGCAAATGTAGTTCTCTCTGCTCCAGGATTTACTACCTTAAAGCAAATGCACAGTATTCAGCTGGCACAGGGAATAATCTCAAGTGCTGTGGAAGAAAAAAACACTTCCACAATAACAAATCACTGAAAAATGAATCTTCTTTGTTCAAGAAGGAACCAACTTTCCTCTTCCGCAATAACAAATCACTGAAAAATGAAATCTTCTTTGTTCAAGAAGGAACCAACTTTAGCAGGAAGACTGCCAGGGAGCCAACAGATTGACTGTGTAATTAAAGCTGTATTTGCTATGAAATATTCCTACTGGGGCCAACACAATATTTTTTTTCCTGTTTTTGTCTTTCAGGGTGGGATGTACGTCTTTCAGTTATTTGACTCTTATGCAGCTAGTGGCATGTGCCTTCTTTTTGTTGCCATATTTGAATGTGTCTGCATAGGCTGGGTTTATGGTGAGTTGCTGAAAATTGATGTGGTTCTGAATTTTTATAAAAGCTTTCTATTTGTATAAAAGCAACGTGAAAGCCTTGTATCCTTACGGAGTGGGGTCCTCCACACTCCTGTGCCCTACTGAAAGTCAGGAATGCCTTTTTTTCCACTCTAAGAAAGTGCAATAGATTATTTTTTTTATCCCCTTGGTCCTTGTCAGGTCTGACCTCCACCTTCCTTCACCGAGGAGGTCCTTAGTTGCCTTAGAAAGTAAGAGTGGCAGTAAGCCCTCCTCTCACAAAGCGTCTCTGCAGGGCATGTTCCCTTCTGTCCATCAGCAGCGTTGAGAAAACCACCGTGGGCTGGGTTTGTTCATGGTTACATCCTCAAGAGTTTTTTGCACACAAGGGACTGACAATTTCACTCAGGAAAACAACATATGAACTTCAGATGACACGTGAATCTTACATGTATGTTCTACATCTGCTTGTCATCTTGGTTTTTTTTGGGCAGGGAGCAATCGCTTCTATGAGAACATTGAAGATATGATTGGGTACAAACCACTCTCCTTGATTAAATGGTGCTGGATGGTCTTAACTCCAGGTATTTGCGCAGTAAGTACAGAATATCCAACAGCTTGTTTTAGACACAAAGAGGGGTTTCTGTACATATTTTTAGAACTTTCCTGCTGCTGATATTTCACAACGGTTGAGAAAAACACTAATGGATTTGTAGCATATGTTTGAATTAAAAAACACTGTAGGATCTGTAAAAATTGCGAAACTTTCTGTGAATTGTGCGGAATCTTAGCATATACAATAATAGCAAAAAAAATAAACTTAGGGCACTAAATGAACATTTGCCAATACAACAGGGGCTTTTTTCGCTGCACAGCAAGTACAGCGCATGTCTACCCAGTGTGGCTCGGGCTCCTCCAGACTCGTGCTGGTTTCCTTCCTGCTCCAGCCTCCTGTTTCCTTCCCTCTCTTTGGGCAAGTAGACATTTTTCAAAAAAGACAGGATTTTTTTTTTCTTCTCATAAAGGTAGTAGAATTGGCCAGGAGCACATCTCACATGCATGAAGAATGGGAAGGAACATGCCTCAGCAGGAGCTGGCAGTACTGGTGTCAGCTCTGCCAGTCTGCTGTGGCTACATCACGGGGGCAAAGTCACAAAGGGAACACAACCAGATTCTCCATAAATTTGATCCACAAGTGCTTGAGGATTAGGTACTAAAATCTTCCAGTTCTCCAATATGTAAATTACAGCAACTGCAAACCCACGGATGTTGGGGCACCTGGAGATCCAGGTTCCCTTGAGCTCTGCCAGGTTTTTGCAAATTTGGGAACATTTCTGACTCATTTTAACCAACTCTGAAATGAGCTTAACAGGGTCCTAAATGAACAAATGAATTTGGGAAAATTTCTCATTTTAACCAACTCTGAAATGAGCTTAATATCACTTGCTCCTGTACACTCTTTTCACCACCTCAGAGAAAAGTACATAGTAACTTTTCTATATTTCATAAATTTAAGTGGTTCCAAACTGCTTGATTAGACACCTGTCCAATTAAGACAGATGTATTTGAGCTTTTGTGAGGATGAAAGAGCTGGCCTGCAGAACTGCAGATACTGACAGTGGATTAAGGCAACTTTGAAAATGTTGGCTTTCCTTTTTCATCGTGACAGGTTGGAGAGAACACAGCTTGTGTTACTTAATCACAGCTGGTTCACGGTAGCAAAACTTAATCTTCCCTGCCCAGGTGCTGTTTGCCATCAAAGTGCAGGTTTTATTGTCATCAAGAGGTAAATAGGATTTAAACTTGAAAGGTTGTTCGTTTCTGTGGAAGCTACTGAGACATGTTATTTAAGCTGTACATAAAAGAAGATATTGCTGGTTGTTTTTTTTCTTCTGACTGCAAAGCTTGCCTCTGTTTCCATCTTTAGGGAGACTGGCCTTGCCCAGACAGTCAATCAGTTTCTTGTTATATCTAACAAGTGGTTTTTTAAGCGGTTTTTCAAATGCTGCTAATATGTTTCTCCGCTTATTTCAGGGAATCTTCATCTTTTTCCTGGTGAAATACAAGCCTTTGAAATACAACAATGTATATATATACCCTGACTGGGGCTATGGCATAGGGTGGATGATGGCGCTCTCTTCCATGATCTGCATCCCTTTGTGGATCTGCATTAAGCTGTGGAAGACAGAAGGCACTTTCATAGAGGTAAGATGTATTTTCAGATTAATGATACTGAAAAAAGACCTGGGAAGGGAGTGTGAAACCTCACCTGTGTGGGACTGAGCACAGTTTAATCAAAAAAGCAATGCTATGTACTTGTTCCCATGGCAGCTTGGGTCAGGCCTCTCACTCACTGGTAGAAAGAGGCATCTGAATTTTCTGTTTTCTTAGAATCATAGAATTGCTTAGGTTGGAAAAGACTTCTAAGATCATCGAGTCTAACCATAAACCTAACACTGCCAAATTCACCACTAAATTATGGCCCTCAGCACCATATCTACATGTCTTTCAAATACCTCCAGGGATGGTGACTCAACCATTTCCCTAGGTAAAGCTTCTTCTGAATTTGTTTGCCTTTTTCTTTTTTTTGCCTTCACTGCCTTCAGGCTGTGGTAAACTAAGCAAGACTTTAAAGTGCTCTGTTCCTGCTCACTTTGTCGCTTAAAATGTCTGTAACATCAGCTAAATTCCTCAAGAAGGTTTGTAGCAGCCATTCATTGAGGTCAGCTGCCTTCTCTCCATGATTTGGTAACTAATCTTTGTGCTGCCAGGATTTTCCTCCAGGAACTGGATAGTAAACACTCACATATGTCTTCTGGACAGTTCTCCTGATTACAGTTCTCTAAATGAGAAATAGAGGCAAAAGGAAATATTCAGTGCAATTTACTAACATTTGCTGTCAGGTTATCTCAGGTCTAGCCCGAGGTTGAGATTATTAAATATAAGACCTTTTCTCCAAAGAAAGACAGTGAAGGTGGCTATAATGGAAGAAACAAAGATACAAATCTTATTCAGCTGTTTGAGATTTCACATATTCCCAGAAAAGCCTGGCTCTGTCATCTGGAGTTCCTTAGACAATAGTCAGTAAAAGTAGGGATCCCAATATCACCTCCCTCTATCTCAATACATACATGGAAGGGACTTTATTTGGTCCCTTCCATGATTTCTCAGTCTTTCTGCTCTTCACTAAGGATAACGCTGACGTGAAGAACAAGAATTTCTGTTTCTGGGATGCCTGGGGCTCGTTCACTTCTCTAGCACGTTTGAAGGATCTGTCTCACAGTGTAAACTCACACTTCCAAAATTATTCTCTGCTCATTACCAAAGCCATCGCTTCTGAATGAAGTGAGGATATCTCAGTGTAAGAGTTCCTGCCTTTTTGACTGGAGAAGGTAACGTGCAGCTTATTGTGCTGCCTGATGACGGCCCATATTGAAATTACTCCAGTGAGATGATTAAATATGGCCTGAAGATACCTAAAAAATCCTTGCTGTGGGTATATAAACAAAAAATGAATTGTCCGTAATGCGGTTTTCTTTGCACATCAAAAAAGGAAGTTTTGCCCAACTCTTAGCATTAAAAGCTTCCTTAATGCATGAGCCTTGCCATGTCCCTGGAAGCAAACAGACTTTGTTTAGAGACTCTTGGTTTGCGTTGCCTTGTGGCCTGAGGCGCTGCAGACCGGTCAGTATCTTTTCTGTACGTGAGCAAGGAGAGGGGATTTTTAATTACAGTTGAAAGCTTCTCAGGAAGCCACTTCCTGCAACATCTCTGCTCCCCAAGCTGTAAGCAGCAACATTGTTACTGATGTTATTGCTCTAAAAGGGAAAGCTCTCAGCTGAACACAAATATTTTTCATGTGTTCTTTATTGAAGCTTCATAAAGCTTCAGCACACTCATGTTTTGGGGTTTTTTTGGCATTCTTGGACTGTACCATGGAAACAAAATGTACCCACATGACAGGCCTTATCCAGAGCGTCACGCTGAATTTCTTCACAGAAGGAAATGTTGCTCTAAACCAGGATGAAAATTCACTTTGTCTTTGCCTTCATTCTCCAGCCTTTGGCCAGCTGTGATTTGTGCAGAACTGCGTGAGGGGCGGTTCCACGGATGTGTCTGTAACAGGGACATGAGGAGCAGACAAGAGGAGAGGGTTTCCCAGTCAATCTGTCTGTGACCAAGGAAAAGATAATGATTTCCATTTTCTTGAATTTTCTAGAAATTCAGGAAGTTGATTACACCGAGCTCTGACCTGAAAATGAGAGGGAAGCTGGGAGGAGGAGCCTACATTGCAGCAATAAATGACTGCGATGCCAAACTGAAAGGAGACGGCGCCATTTCAACCATTACAGAAAAGGAGACGCATTTCTGAAAGAACTATGATATTTTGTTTTATTTTTTTTTTTTGTATAAATAAATAAATAAATTCACTTAATTATAGAGGCTGGCTTGTTTTGCACAGAATTTTATTAACCAGTTAATTTTAAAGTGAAAATTGTATACTTGTTTAAAAGTGATTTTTTAAATTACTATATAAGTAATGATTATGTAAAAGAAAAAGAAATAGTATTATATGGTATGTTAGTGATGACTTCTTGTAATATGGTGATTTCAGTAAATGGTTTTTTTTGGTTTTTTTAGAAATTAGAGGGACCTGTATAATGTGCTGTAAAACTTTTCTACTTTGATTTCTGGCAGGTGTAACGTTGTATAGATCTACGCATACTAATATGTAAGCATTTCGGACCATTTCAGCTTTTAATGTATGTATATAAAGGGGACCGGAATGTCCTTTTGGTTAAACTGGAAGCAGTTGTGAGGGGCTGGGGGGGATGAGGGGTAACTGCTGTTGGGTGTTGCTCTCTGAATGTGGGCTGTATCCAACGTCTCCTGAGATCCGAGGGAGCCCTTCCCGGCTGGGGCCGGGAGCTTTGCCCTTCCCGAGGCCAGGGCAGCTGCAAGACTGAGTTTTGCACCTGAAAAAGCTCTTTTTCAGAAATGTTGTGAAGCCAAGAGGAAGCACCCCCTCAGCTGCTCTCATCGCCTTCCCTCCACCCTCCGCTTGCTTCAAGAGGTCTAATCCGTGGTGGAATGGGCCCACTTCTGAGTCACTGTTTTCTGGAGACTGGATAGAGAACGTTTCTTATGAGCTGTGAATTTTGCTGCTCTTGTAAGTTAATGGTCTCTATAAGACACGTACTGCTTCAGGAGACCTCTAAAGCTGTTTCATTTTCTTTAGTGTCTGGGTGGCCAGTACTTTGTTTCAGTTGACACTTCCCAACCCCTGAAGTGATGCGTGTTTGTCTGCGCTTGTACAACAGGAGATCATGGTTACTTTATGTCAGTGGAGATGTTCTGAGGAAAAAAAGACCAGGTTTAGAGCTCTGCACAGCTCGGCCTCTCTCTTTGCCTCTATCTATTTGCCAAGTCTGTCTGTCTGTACATCTATTAATTGCCCAAAGAAGAAACCAAGGATCCTGTAATGACAATATAGAGCTTTTCTCATCGTCAGGGTATTTCTAGATACTTTCAGATTAGACTCTGGTTGCTCTACCCTGAATGGTATCAAGGGTTGTACTGAAGTCAGAATGGGAGTTTATCTGGTGGAAGGCTGGAGTAATTGGTCCTTAAATCACTGCATCATAGAACACCAGGTTGGAAGGGACCTCAAGGATCAGCTTTGGCACAAGTCCAGTCTAGAGGAGGTGGCCCAGCCCCCTGTCCAGCTGAATCTTAGAAGTGTCCAATGTTGGGGAATCCACCGCTTCCTTAGGGAGATCAATCTCTACAAGAACTCCAGGAGATAATTTGAATTGAGACAAGGATGTTGTGACTTCTCTGTTCCACAAAAGGAGCATTATTGGGTCTGTGAGATCAAGCCTTTTCATGTGTCCATTGTATGACCTGACTCCCTCTGATGGAAGACAGATTTTGTCTGTGAATCCAACTGGATTGTTCCTCTGAGGTGTGCCAATGCTCGCCCCATTCTCTAGACTATCTCTTGGTTTGATTTTTTTCTTCGGCCAATATTCCACACCCTGTTATTTGTACTGGGCAATTATTTTTGTTCCTGTCCTGTGTTTTTTATTTAACGGTTGTACAAGAAACCCGTGGAGGAACGTTGTACTGCACTGCACAGTATTTGATGGGGAGAGACAAGCAACAGCCTAGGACAGCTCTGAAGAAATGTCATAAAATCTGCTGTCTTCTCTGCAATCCAAAATCACCAAAGCTCAGACACCAGCACCTGGAGTTATTAGAAACAGAAGTGGCTGCTGGCCTTCTACAGAGGAGAACATTTCCCTAGGAGTCACTAACTATATCTTAATATTACATAGAACTGCACGTGCAGTCACCATTTCTTTGAGATTTTATGGTTACCTCTTAAAAAAGCATTTTTGTAGAATCCCTTTGTCTCAAGTCACATCATTAAATCTAACAGTTTTGTTTCATTTTACTTCATCTTACTTGTTTTTTGGGTTTTTTTTGTGGTACGGTGGAAGTCTAAGAGAAAACTTCTCTACTGCAATCCTACTTGAAGTACTTTAAGTCCTTGCCTTTCAAGTCACATCATTAAATCTAACAGTTTTGTTTCATTTTACTTCATCTTACTTGTTTTTTGGGTTTTTTTTGTGGTACGGTGGAAGTCTAAGAGAAAACTTCTCTACTGCAATCCTACTTGAAGTACTTTAAGTCCTTGCCTTTATGAAGGTAGAGAACCATCATCTCGTGAATGGGAGCCTTCAGCTGGGCATCCAGAACTGGAGGTTACCAGTGGAAATCACTGTCCTATTGGAAACTGATGCTTCTGGAAGAGAAATGCTCCCAGAATTGAAACCACAGGTTGAGTTGTATAATTACAGAAAATACAACGAAGCAACTGAAAGCTACATATTGACATTGAAAAAATGCCCACTCCAAAACCAGAACGTTTTTGGAAGTTCTAATGAGTCATAAATACTTCTAATCCAGCGTCCCTTTCTGGTCTTTCTCTCCACCCACCAGCGTTGCAGAGCTAAGGTCCCAAAGCCACGTATGGGCCTTGGGATGGATTATGATCCCTCCCAGAGTAAATGTCGACACATTTTATCAGTGAAGGGTGTGCAGATGTGGATGCACTGTTAGGGTGCACTTAATTTCACTGAGGTTATCTTCAGCTCTCGGGACTCCATGGATGTTTACAGTGAAGAGTGCCAAGAGGTGGACCCACCACCACCACTCAACTGGCCGTCCATTAGACATGACATGAGAATCCCAGCCAAGTCACGATTGCCCTTCGAGTCATGACACACACTGCTGTAGCAGAAAAAAAAATCAGCTTGTGCATTTTAGCTTGTCCTGGTACTTCGGACTGTTGTACTCATCCAAATATCTCCATGGGAACTACACACGGAACATGCTTCCTGCTCTGCTGCTATCAACCATTTCACCCGTAGCTTTATACACATACATAGGGTTTGGCATGGTCAGAAGTATCATACAGTATTACTAATGTGCTGTGCTTGTAAATGTGTGCGTTTAATATCTGACTTGTTTAACACTTTACTGATTTTTAAAAAAAAATATATATCTTTTGCGGGGAGGGATGTGGGAGGGTAAATTTCCTAATAGTATTTGTGGTTTAGTTTTGGTTTTTTGAAACAATATGAAGGGGAAAAAATGCAAAAACCTACTATATTGTGATGATTTTTTTTTTTTATGCGGTAGAAACAATATTGCCCTTTTCTGAATCATCTGCAGTATTATTAAAAATAATGCAATAAAAATGAACAACCACTAAAGTTTATGTAACATTTTACACAAAGAAGGATTCTGTTTGGTTTTGAAGGGCACAAGATTTCGTCTACTTACTTGTTTTCAAAAATTAAAGGAAATGGGCAAAACCCATTCTGTGTATTTTAGTTTATATCAGTGTATTTTATACGACAAATGAAATAATCACAACTACCCTGTTAGGGCAGATATACGTCCCCTGATTTTAAATGGGGGACTTGAGACCAAGAGAAGATTTGGCAACTTCTTTGAGCTTACCTGGTAAATCTGTGGCTGGAACAAAGGGAAGTTTCCTGATCTCACAATTTCATGTCACTGAACATAAACCTATTGCCACGGAAAAGTGCAGATGTGCTGCCTCCTTCCCCCCAGCCCTGACCCCTCCATCTCCCCCCACTTCTGGCCGTGTTTCACTGTGGCCGTGTTTGTGTCACTGGTGGGAGCCACCGTGGGGACAGCTCTGGCTGAATTTCACCCAGCAAAAGCCTTTGGTGAGTTCCCAGTAGCTCCAGTTTATTGCCTGCCCATGCAGCTGCTACCACTGAAGGCGGTGAAGATGGTGAATTCCATCTTCCTGATGCTATATACATTATTCTGGGTTAAAATAACCTTCTAACCATGGCCTCAGTCACAAGCCAACGCTCTGTCCCTTTGATGAGCTGCTGTGCTACAGTTTTATGCTTTTATACTCTTTTTTCTTATGTCACTGCCCACGTACAGGGAAAAACACTTGCTTTAGCACATGACAAGCTGATGAAAAATTCCGATGCCCTCCCCTGAGGCACCCTGTTAGATAGTAGCCTGCTGCACAGGAAACGAACTCTGGTCTTAAAGGCTCTTTCTCATCTTGATTAATGAAGCATGGCTATAATAATTAGATAGTAGCCTGCCGCACAGGAAACAAAGCTCTGGTCTTAAAGGCTCTTTTTCATCTTGATTAATGAAGCATGGCTATAATAAGGAAAACGTGCTATGGATTTTGACAAAGCCTTTCAGTTCCTCTCTGTCTGAACCAGCTACTCTATCCAGCCCCAAAGAGCCCACAGGAATGATGTGCACCCTCTGCCCGGGGTTGATTTCCTTGCACTGCAGCAGCCCATGGCATTCCCAGGATCTGGCCGGGCAGCAGGACAAGGGCCTTGGCCCCACCTTGCAGCTAAATATTGAGTAAATCTGAAATCTGTTGGGAAATTTGGCCTCAGATTTGGCCATAGTGACTCCCCATGAACTTGGTCATTCATGGTGCAGCAGCAAGTCTAGTGAAGATTTCTAAAAATACCTTTTTTTTTTTTACGAGATCAAAAATGCCCTGGTGAATTACACACTTGAACATTTGGCTGGAAGAAGATGTGAAAATTTGCACAGAGGCAGACATAAAAAGGAGAAAGTTTGCTGAGATTCTCTTAAAGAAAGGTTTGGAGGAAGCGTGCAAAGGTGAGAAGGCACCATGCACGACTGCTCAGGCTCCCCACATCTGTGTGATCACTACGGGGTGAGTGCTCACAAGGCAGTTTCCAGCTCCCCTTTCCAAAGCTACTCATAAAATATAAACTATTCACTACAATGTCACACTGCAAAAGGGACCAAGATTTGGGTGCTGATTTGAAGTGAGAATTTGAGGGAAGAGTTACACAGCCCTTTCCTTACATACTGTAGCTTTAAAATGATCAAATCCTTCATCTTTATTAACCTTTACTCTCTGAGAGCTGCAACCAGCCTCAGCCAGGTCCCATCCTCCTTCAGGTCGTTCTGAATTCCCACCACCCCCTCCTGTTGGCCAGCCATGCTCACCTTGAGTGTGGAAGGCTGCTCTTGTGCTCTCCAGCTAATTTTCTGCATCTGCCCTCCTCAGTTGCCTTGCTCATCACCCGTGCTGGCCCATCCTGCAAACGGAATAGCCCTGAGCTGTATTGGTACTGCCAAATAAGAAAATCAAGTATCACACAATTTCATAAGTGGAAGGAACAAGAATCTTTGCCTGTTCCTAGAAATGTCTGGCCAGCAATTGTTTCCAGTGCTGTCATAACGCATCCTAAAAGCCTCAGCCAGGCCCCTCTTTCTCACAAGATCTTACTGTCATGGTCCTTTACACCGTGATGAGGTCCCTGGCTTTTAAAAGGAGAGGGTCCTTGCTTCTGTGGTATTCCAGTTAAACAAGAAGAGAAACACAAAGATAGTCAAGAGTTCCTTGCTATATAGATTTTGTTAGTGACAAAATATCAGGGTGTGCTTTCTACTTCTACCCATTTGCTGTTAATAGAGTCAATCAGCCAACACCACTATCCATTCCCAGCACTTACTCCAGCACTCTGTAAGAGACACAGCAGCTTTTCTTAGATGTTATTGTAAAACATCTTACCAGAAACACAGAGCTCTGGCTGATCTCTTTTTATTTAAATGCACACACCCACTTATTTATCACACTATACACAGATGAATCACTCCTCTCCTCTCCCCAAAGGGCTAGGAACTGCAATCAAGGCACACCACGCTCGAAAGAACACACTACAGCTACTCAGGCAGACACCTCCAGGGCCAATTCTAAGTTTGGGTGCAGTCAGTGACGTGGAATTTAGCTGTGCTCTGATGGGCACTGGCACCAGGAAGCCCTGACCCCCATATGCACTGCTTCACAACAAGCACGGCCAGCAGGTTGAGGGAGGTGATTCTGCCCCTCTACTGCACTCTGGTGAGACCCCACCAGAAGGACATGGACCTGTTGGAGTGAGTCCAGAGGAGGCCATGGAGATGCTGGGAGGGCTGGAGCCCCTCTGCTGTGAGGACAGGCTGAGAGAGTTGGGGGGGGGTTCAGCCTGGAGAAGAGAAGGCTCTGGGGAGACCTCATGGTGGCCTTCCAGTATCTGAAGGGGGACTACAAAAATCTGGAGAAGAACCTTTTACAAGGGCATGTAGTGATAGGAAGAGGTCTGGAGAAGGACCTTTTACAAGAGCATGTAGTGATACGAAGAGGGGCAATGGCCTCAAACTGGAAGAGGGGAAATTTAGATTAGATCTTAGGAAGAAATTTTTTACTGTGAGGGTGGTGAGAGCCTGGCCCAGGTTGGCCAGAGAAGCTGTGGCTGCCCCATCCCTGGAGGGGTTCAAGGCCAGGCTGGATGGGGCTTGGAGCAACCTGGTCTGGTGGGAGGTGTCCCTGCCCAGGGCAGGGGGGCTGGAACTCAATGATCTCTAAGGTCCCTTCCAACCCAAACCATTCTACGATTCTGTGAAGTGAGAGGTAGAACTGATCAAGACAAGAAAAAACACAGTAAAGGGATACAGTGAAGACATTGAACCACTTGTGCCTCCAAAAAGCCGTATGCATTTGGAAGAGGTATGGTGTGGTTTATTCATATCTGACGTAAGGGTTGGGTTTGTGTTTCTATCCTTCCATCTGTGAACCAGCACCACCAGGCTTGTCAGCAGCAGCCAGCTCAGCTGCCCAGCAGTGGATCAGCAGCTGCTGCAGAGACCACCTTGCTCTGAGCTCCGGTGAAGCAGGGATGCCAAAACGCTTTTCTTTCTATTCCAGCCCCACTCTTAGCTTGCTCCCAAATGAGTTTGGAAGAACAGGTTTATAAACTTCAACAGAAACACACCCAGGAATTATTTTGGCCTTCATCAGGTTGCCTGGTTTTGGTGGGGTGCTTTTTTCTTCCTTTTCCAGGTTTTGTCTGCA